TATTTCTCATTTTTTCCTTTCTCCAACTGAGTCAGCTGACTGTTCCTTAGCCAAAGGTACTTTGACAGAAAAATTGGGGCTCAAATGAAATAGATATTATCACCTGATATTCCTTGTAGAATTAGTGTGGCAAGTCAGGTCACACAATAAGACCAGAAGCAAGAGGAAAAATGAGAAGTGCCATGTGTGGGCATTGTACCTGAGAGGTGAGGTTTCCTGGGTAGATAAGAGCTTTGAAAGACTTTCATTCCCTTTTGTTCCCTCTTTTCCTCTCTTTAAAATCAACAAGCAACTATAGACCAGAGACATACTATAGTGGGGGGCGGGGGGAGGAAAAGAGGGATAAGGGTCAGAAAAAGGGGGTGGGAATTGTATGGGGAATATAACCAAAATGAAAATGCATACATTATGCAAAAATGAAAAATCATGTAAGACTTATATAAAATAAAATAATTCATTAAAAACCCAAGTCATTTATAATAATTATCTGTTCATTCAACATGTACTTATTGACTCTTCCAGACAGTATCCTAAGACTCAAAGAAATGTTACCAATTATCATAAAGATTGACCTCTAAGTTTAATTACAGTTTAAATGACTTAAGAGCCTGAAGAACTTTGAATCCTCCAAGTTCAAAAGTTATGTAGGGCCTTCCCAGTGGCACAATGGGTTGAATGCAGGGCTGTGAAGCTGTCCACAGCGCCGGTTTGATTCCCAGCCAGCCAGGGAAAAACCCACATGGCATGGCAGACCTCTCCTGCCTCGCCCATTGCTCCCCGCAGCAGTGTCTTCAGTCCATCTGCCTGGTCTGCTCCCTGCTCTGTCTCTGGTGAATCCTCTCACCCTCCTGCACCTCTGGCCTGTACCCCAGCTCTTGGATAAAAATAAACAAATCTTTTAAAAAAAAGATAGTATGTAAAGTACTTATCAAGCTGGATGGAATTGAGCTTTTTCAATCAAGATGTAAATAAGCTTCTTCATCATGAAAAAAAGCTAAAAGTAAACTAGCTTGGATTTTACTGTCTTCTATTTAATCAAATTTACATGTGAGGCATCAGAACTTATTCTCTTAGATTCACTCTTCCTTTTTTATGTTTACTGACCTCTATTATCAGTACATATTTTCATGATATTTCTGACATCTCTATAATATACAAGGAAAAATACTTTTAAAATAAGGATAAAAGAGAAGAAAACTATATTTCTGGTACACCCCTAAGCATTATTCAGGGGAAATAATGGGACTGGGATAATTTTAAACAGCTTTGTCAAATATCACTGATAGAAATGCCAAACTACAAAATTAAACATAAGCTACACATAAAAACAAATGTTCAAGTAAGATAGAATGTCTATCCATTTCAACAAAGATGGCAAATAGCTTTCCACTTGTATGCCATCTTTGATCAATTGCAGGATCCTGCCTAGAGTGCTGTGTTGAAAAGAATTTGGAACTAAGCACTAGCTCTGGGGGAAAATTGCCACAATTGATTAGCAATGTCTGTCATGAATGGAAACTAGGAGAATAGCAACACATGGGCCACATAGTTGTCATTCTCGATTTTGAATTAAGTATTGGAAGTGTGTTCCCAGAGAGAATTGCTGATAATTGGAAAAGATCAAACGGTTTTCAGTATATTTGACTTTCCAAAATAAATTTGATTCTACGTTAGAGCACTCATTCAATAAGTGTATTCAAATGCACTCAACAACCCAACATTTCCCCAAACTTGGATAAACAGTCATGCATTTAACTGAGGAATAATCTTAAAATAGGGAGAAGATACACTTTATCATTGTTTGGTATAAAAATTATAGAATCCAAATAAAAATTTTGGAATGAACATGAAAACCATGGTTATAATTCAAGTTAACCTTGTTTCCTAGGTATTTATGTCCTTCAATCTTGCATTTGTTCTTTCATACACATGTCAATAATAATTATAATTACATTTGAGGAGAAAGAGTGTAAAGCAAAGGTGTCAGCATAAATACACACAAATTTCTGCCACATCTACTTTAGAAGTATTTGAAATCATTTTCTTTGTTCAAGTGGTACAAATGAAATGAAATTCAGGTCTAAAATGAGTTTTATTGAAGTGCCACATCACAAAAAGACACTCATACTTTTACCTCACCAAGAGAAATGTAGAACTTTTTCATAATGATAGCATTGTCTTCTTCAGTAGCAGGAGGTGGTGGAGTGGGTGGTTTTCTTGGGACCCAGGGAGAAATATCTGTACCTACTGTGATAGTCATGCCTGATTGGCTCCATCTGACTTGTGAGACCAGTTTAGCTAACCTGCATTTTAGAAAAGATATAAACTGGAAATAAGTTTCAAACACGATAGAGCTAGGAAAAAAAGTAACCCTGGAATTTTATCTTACATATTCAAGCCAATCACCCCTCCTTAATGCTGCATGCTATTTCTCTTAGGATCTGCTAAAATTAATGTTTTATTCATAGTACTACCAATTATAATTATTGTTTTGATTTATTTTATTTTCCTCTTTAAAGTATTTATTCTAAGCAAAGATCAACATTTTTAGTAAAATTTCAGATGTGTTAGGTACTTAACACATTTCTGGGAACATAAAAGAAAATCTTGGTCCCACACTATGACGTTCCTTTTTCTGACACATAATAATCATTTTAACTACCTGCATATAAATATTATAACAAGTAGACAATTTAAAAATTATAATAATCAAAGAAACACAACTGAAGTGCATTTATTAGGTACTGTTTGTGTGCAATCTCTTTAGAAAATTATGTGATTTTTACCAATGCTATCACTCATAGCAAGTGGGATCTAAAATCAAATGTATTAAAAAGTTAAAAAAAAGTATGTTATTAAGAAAGTACAGAAAAATTATTTTAGGTTAAAAACAGGTATTTAAAAACATTATATTAATAGGACTCTAATACCTGTATTCAAAGTAGCAATCACTTTCCAGAAATGCTGGGAGTCTTTCTTTTTTGACCCACTTAATACCTTGTTCCCGGCTAAGACACTATTATAGGACAAAAGAAAAAGAAAAGGACTGTTAAAGAAAATCACACTTAAAGACAATTAAAGCCTGATCACTAGAGCAATAATGGCAGTGAGCTACTACTAGGACCCAGCCCCCAACTTCTATTTGCATAAGAGAGAGCAAGAACCCGGAGTCACAAATTTCAAGTCACTTCTTGTTTTCTGATACTTCTTCAGTTTTCTCAACACCCCTGCATCAACTATTAACTCCACTTTACAGGTAAACAAACTGAATCCAGAAAAGTCAGGTAACTTATTGAAGAGGAATAAGAAAAAAAAGTCAGTCAGTTTCAGTATTTCACAGTTATAAGATGGGTTAAAACTCATTACAAACAGAAAAAAAGCTAACCACAACAAAAACTGATAGGACCATTCTTCAGGTCTCTTGTCTTCCTAATTTTAGAAAACTTTGCTATTAAATATTTAACATTCGCAGGCATTATCCTAGCAATACCATGACTCAAAAGAGGAGTTTGCAAATAACTCATTTAGCAAAAATAGTAGAGTAGCTTAACGCCACTATAAATTCAGACTTGTGTGGGAGGCCACCTGGGCACTAAAACCAGCCAGGGTCCCCCTCAGACATGTTATTCGACCTGTAGCAAGATTATTGAGGTTGATGAGAGGAAGGTTGAAGAGCACACAGGAGAGGAACTAACCATAAGGTTAGTGTAATTGGAGATCAGAGGGTGAGATCTGAGGGGAAGAGGATAGGTAAGAAAAGGAGACAGGGAACAGATTATAAATCGTCTTTTAAATAACATTAGGGCATTTATTGATTCTATTTTGTCGCATATTCACTTTTTCCAGAATTTGAAAGAATGTCAGCACCTTGGATGCTAAATAAATGCTACGAATAAAGTACACATCTTAGGGAGGCAAATGTGCCTGCATTTCTGAGCTTCCACTGAATATCTTGCTAAAACATCAGTTTTACTGTGGTATTAATATGGGAGTCAGCATAGACCAGATTTACTCCAGTGAGAAAATCGAAGGCTCACACAGCAAGTCTTTGTTCTTGAGAGCGCCCTGAGCTCAATGCTGCTGGTGTGAAGCCTGAAGTAACTGGACTCCCAGGACTGGAAAGCTGACCCCACAATGCTTTGATCTTGTTCAGTCCAAAAGACCCATTTGCTGTCACCAAAGACGACCTTCTCAGCAAAGTAAGAATAGAAGTTACTTTGGACACAGCAAGCACCTGAAGTAGCATCTTGTTGATTATTCCATTTATTACTGATGAGATCTGGAGGGCATTTGGACCTTGTATAGGAAGACTCCAAATACACCTCCACACACCCTGACAACCACACAGGACTCCTGAGTTCTCATTAGCAACGCATCAAGGTATCCCAGAAAGAAACCAAGCTACACGTAAAGACCAAGATAAACCCTTGAGGAATTCCACAAGATTATAGGACTAGGCATTTCAAACAAAACCAATTTATGTATTATTTACCTAAGAAACAGTTCACCTATAACGTATCCTCTTTTGAATGTTTTTGCAACTAACTGACCAAAAATTTAAATGAAATAAAAAGTTTTAAAAGAATAAAATCAAAATTGAAATTTCAAAACTTGTTTTATGGCCTAGAATATGATCTAACTTGGTAAATATTACAGGTAAACTTGGGAAAAAAATAAGTGTACTCTGCTGTTGTGAAGTCTTCTATAAACATCCATTAGATCAACTTGGTTGCTCATGTTTAGTTCTCCTGTATTCTTCCTTACAGATCTATTTTTCTTACACATTAGTGGAAAAGCAATGGTAAGTCTCCAACTAAAACTGGATTTGTCTATTTCCCCTTTCAATGTTATCAGTTTTAGTTTCATATTTTCTGAAGCTCTGTCATAAATGCTTATTATGAGGTATGCTTTCTTGGTGAATTTACTCTTTTATATGATGTAATAATGCCTCTATCCACAGCAAGAGTCCTTATTCTGTTCTACTTTGTCTGATATTAACATTACCACTACAGCTTTCTCTAAGTTGGTAATTGTATGGCATATCTTTTTTCCTTTTTAACTTATTTATGTATTCTATTTAGGTAGGTTTCTTGTAGATAAAAAGTATTTGGGTCTTTCTTTTTAATCCCACCTCACTCTTATTTTTAATAGGGGTGTTTAGGTTATTTAATTATTTATGTATATTATTAATGTGCTATGACTAGTTGATATGGTTTGCTTAAAATCTACCATCTTGTACTTTTATTTGTTCCATATATTCTTTGTTCCTTTTCCCCTCATTTTCTGTATTTTTGGTTTGAATACTTTTTCCCTTATACTTAACGAATATTGAATTATTTGTGCCTCTTTTTAAAACATGTTTCAATTACTACCTTACTGTTTTTAATATGGATATTTAATGAATTGCAATTTATCTTCATATCAAATAAGACATATCAAATAAAGTCACCCAGTAGATCTTTTTGAGAAACTTGTGTCAAAACCTGTAATTCAAGTTGAAAAGTTACTAAATAGCTTTTGTATAACAACAGATAGGCTACAAAGACCTCCATGAAATAAAAAATTTCTATTCACAAACAGAAAGGAACAAACCAACAAATATCACTGTCGTACCTAGTAAAAAAAATTTAATAAACAATTTATTTTGCCCCATAGTTTAAAATATATTACTTGTTTTAGCCTCAAAACAATGCTATAACATAGTTATTTTTTAAGTTTGTATTATTATTAATGCATTTAATTTGATGGAAGTATACCAGAAAAACAGAAATATTGTTGTATTCAATAAAAGAACTGAAGAACTTTCAGACTGCTAATGTTAGGGGTTAGACATTTTAGCTTAGTTCTATCAGACTTTTTTTTTTCAATTTCACAATGTCTTTTACTTAGCACAGTCACTTCAAATTCCATCCACATTGTCACAAAAGGCACAATTTTATCTTTTTTAAAATAACCTAGTAGTAGTCTATTGAATATATGTATTGTAACTTCTTTATCCAGTTATCTGTCAATGAACATTTAGGTTGATTCCATAACTTGGCTAAGTGAATAGTACAGCTATGGACACAGGGTACATATATCTTTTTGAATTAATGTTCTCATATTATTTAGATAAAAACCTGGAAGTGGAATTGCTGGATCATATGGTATTTCCATTTTTATTTTTTAAGGAATCTCTGTACTGTTTTCCATAGAGTCTGTACCAATTCACATTCCCACCCAGTAGTGAAAGAGTTCCTTTTTCTCTATACTCTTGCCTTGTCTTGTTACTTCCAGTCTTTTTGATGTAGTATGCCATTCTCACACGTGTGAGGTGATGTCTTTTTGTGGTTTTGGTTTGCATTTTCCTTATAGTGAATGTAGAGCATTTTTTCATGTGCTTGTGGGCTGTCTCTATCAGACATTTTAAACCAATGGAAAAAGCACTGTTAAGCATTCATTACTAGTTTCATTTGAGTCATACACGAATGCAAGTACATAAGCAGTACGTAGTAAAGGCATCATTTGGAAAATAACAAAAGTAATGTTCATCAAAATGACTTGTTCCAGAACACAGACAGTGAGTTGAAGAGCCAATATTAGAACACAGGGGTTTGTGTTGTTGTTTCTTTACTTCATGATATGGAGATAACATGCAGAAGCTGAGAATGGGATTTAAGACTAGGAGGTTAGAGACCCACAATGTAACCTGAGGGTCAGAAATCTCAATTCTCAACTACTTCACAGAATAGAACCCTACTGAAATAAATTTATGGTATACTCATATTTTCTAGAATGCATTAAACTATAAGTAAAGGACACACATATTTATACTGTCCCAAATTAACCTGATATTCTAAGTATTCACAGTGAATTACATAAACCTTCTCACACTAATCATAAATAGCAAAAGTGCTAGACTAAATTTGCCATTTGATACATATAAGATGATATAGAAACTAACAAATATTATGTATAAACACAATAAAATTTAATAAATATAGTTACACCTCAGAAAGGGAAGCTCAGGGAAACTTCAGATTAATCTGACCAAATATTTTATCTAGCTAAAAAATACAAACTTAAATATACTTTCTTACCATAATATTGTAGTTGACATTAATGGTCTCATCTTCATAGGGGACCTTCATCTGGAGAAATTTAATATCGTTTTTTCCTTTCCTTACAACATCATAAATGGGATTTCGAGGTTGCTGGTTTTGCAGAATTTTTTTCAGTTGCTTTTCCAGAAGTTGTGGAGCATTGTTGACTACTTCAAAAACTCCATAATCTGCATTAAATCTAATTGCCTCTGAAAAGGTCTGCAAAATAAATTGATAGAGCTATGTCCTAAAATAGTTTAAAAAAGAGACACTCACTGTTTTCCAAGAAGACTTTATACTTACACACATGCAGAGACATAACATTCTGTGCTCTTAATCATTGCCTCTTCCCTTTTCAGGAGCCTGGAAATCTCTCCACTATAGGTAAGAGGGCCCATTAAATCCTTCCTCCCCAAAGGACTTATGTCATGAGATAAGTGTCAGGATAAGTTATGGCCGAAATTCCTTTGTATAAACAACTTAACTCCATGCTTCTTTGCAACTGGAAAGAAATACACACCTGGTCTCTATGAAGCAATGTTATACTCCTAGAAGGGGGTGAATTACCAGGGAAGAGTGAGTAAAGGAAGAAGAAATAACATTCCTGCTATCTCTTTCATCCCCAAGAACCATGAAAGCTAAAGTCTCCCTTGCCTAAGAGGAGAAAATTAAGTACAATGTGTTCTTCATTTAAGACCATTTCAACACCATTCCTTTCAGTGTGACCAAAAAATAGTAAAAGACAATAACATTTCTGAGCTTTTCTCAGTAATTACTAAATGCAGCCAACTTTTATGTAAAGTCAGTCAGTTAATACACAACAGCCAGAAATCTTGAGATGAATGCCAGCTGCCAATAAGTAGCTCTGTGACACTGAGTAATCACCGAATATGTTCCGAACCTCCATCTCCCCAACAAGTAAATGGCAAACTGGCTGTATCGTTTCTCATTTTGCCCTACAAACCTAGATTCAGTTTGCCTTTTCAGAATATTAATTTATTTTAGGAAAGCTTCTGTGAACTGTCTATTCATGTAAATTGATATATAGTTTAGTCATGTGGAAGACATTAAACTCTTCTGTTGGATCAGTGTCCTGAGAACAGCATTAATTTTTCAAGTTTTACTAAGAGATTGCTAGATGTACTATAATTATATGTCAGGATGTAGTAAAATTGGAATTAGAAATGCAATGTATATATGTATAGACACCTATGTGTCTCTGTGTGTGTTTTGATGCCAAATAATACCGTCTCTCTAAAGTCTGGTTGTTTCCCCTTCTAAGAAACGTCAAGTGCACAGGTGACAGAATTCAATATGAATGTCAGCCCACAGCCCAATGGTCTCAGGGCTAAGATTTCACCTCCAAATGATAAGTACAGTTCACTGGATAAGTAACAATAATTAGCAGTAAAATGCATTTAAGTTTTCTTCAATAAATAAATTTCATTGGTTGCACATTGTATCTATCTTTGAAGCATTGAATTCAAAAGGGCACTACTTACCTAAATGTTAAATGTTATCACTGAATTATACTATGACTAAACTAAACAGTTAAGTCTGCTGACATCAGAGGCCAGGTCCATCTGGTTGGGGAAAGGAGTTAAATTAAACTTGGTAGAGAATGGGCATCAAATACTATCTAGGGGTAGGGAAAATGGAGCAGTATAATAAGAAGACCATCTGGAAAAGATTTCTTCTACCTCTGAGTATGCATGGAGTAAGAGAACAAGCTTGACCTCTATTTATTGCTTTCCTTTCTTTTTTCTGCCTCCTACCCTAATGCCTGGTAGCCAGAGGAACATAAAGCTGTGACAGGCCAAAGCAAAGAATAACAATTATTTAGTTCTATAGACAAATACTTCCTGATGCTCAAGTGAAAAAAAATTAGAGGGACTGTGACACTGAGACCCTCAGTAGCCACTCGGACCTAGTAGAAAATAGTTAGGTGCAGCTGGTAGATATATCAGAAGGGATAAGAACTACAGTTTACTGAACATCTGCCATGTGCCAGGCATGTGATGGACACTTTAAATTTAAATCTGGAGTCTTTCTCTATAATCTTGAGATGACAAAATCTCATCATGGCTTTATGGCAAGTCCCCTAACAAGCTTACTACAGAACTCTACATTCATGACCACAAAACTGCTTTACACCCAGGGTTGACACATAATTCCAGCCAGGCCTAGTGGATGTTACAGACTGGCTCACTCAGGGATTCATTCCAACCTCTAAAATACAGTCTGGACAGCTAAAAACTATATAGGCCAGATACCTTGTAGCTATATTGTTATGTGTAATTTAGGTTCTGCCACTCACATGCACTCACAAAAATACTTGAATTCTGAGTGCAGTGGGGAGTGAACCAGGGTATATACATTCTGAGGAAGAAAAACTGAAGGATGTGAACACATGAAAGTAAAAAGAGAGACTGGTCAAAAAAAAATCTACAAAAGAAGGAAAACTAATTAATTGTGTTTATGATAAAATGATGTGAAATGTTCCTATTTACTTAAAAAAAGAAATATTCATTGAAAATGAGTCTTTGGGCCTCCCCTGGTGGCACAGTGGTTGAGTGCTGGGCTGCAAAGCTGCCCACAGCCTCTGCAGCGCCAGTTCAATCCCCGGCCACCGGCGAGGGTCCCACATGGTGCGCAGACCTCTCCTGCTGCGCCCGCTGCTCTCCTCAGCAGTGTATTTCGTCAGTCTGCCTGCCTGTTCTGTTCCCCACTCTGGCTCTGGTGAATTCTCTCACCCTCCAGCACTTCTGACTGTGCCCAGTGCTTGTATAAATAAATAAATCTTTTTTTAAAAAAAGAAAAAGAAAATGAGTCTTTTCCCAAAAGTAAATAACTATTTTCCTATATAAAAAGCCATGAGTTAGAGCAGATCTCTAAAGATGTTTAACAGCAATGTGATTATAAAATTATGAAAGCAGCAAAAAACTTCTCTTAGTTAAAGGAGTCAAAACTTGTCCTAGGTCATTTATTAACAGAGTGCCCAGCATCTTCCTAAGAAAACACAAAAATCCATGAAACACTGTTTCTGCCTTTAAAGAAACAAATGCACATTCATTCATTTTCTCTATGATGAAGAATCTCAACAAAATAGTGAGATTAGTGTAACATGCAAATGCTAAAGAGGAAATCTGTCATGAAAAGAGCTAATAATGAGGTAATCCCAAGGTGCCTTCCACCTTAATATGCCAGCATCAGTCCCTAATTATCCCTCCAAGAAAAAGAAGTGGGTATCTTCTATTCTTTGTATAGTTTAGTGAACACATCTCATCTAACAAATATATGAACACAGATATGTAAATAGAGACAATAAAGATTCATCAGACAAGCAGAAATGGACTCTTAGAATCAACATATAAGTGACTCATATTAGTCAAAATTATCCTCTCAAATCTTTGAAAACATCTATAAAGCACCAAGTTGTTCTATCTCTCAAGATGTTTATCACAGTCACTTTCCCCTGGTATTGAGTAGGTCACTTATTCTTCAGTTAAGGACCAGATAAAGTGGCAGGGTTATGTTTAAAGCTCATGTTTCATAAAAATACATGTTTAGAGCTAGAATCACTCTCAGCATAAGATGACTCCATTTTAAGTAGCTAGAAGGATGAGAAACAAATAAGAGTAGCAGCTTTTCATCTTCTATCTCACACCTTCTCTGGGATGTTCAGGGATTGATATGTGTGTGTCTTGGTTAGTAAAACAGACAAAATCATCCTTACTCTTCAAATCACCCTCATTCACTCAGCAGAGCATGGATAATTTGAGTAATGACACACAAACACTGCAATTCTGTTTTAACACAGAATAATTACAATAGAAATACATACATACAAAGTAGAGTGATGGCACAGGATACACTGAGTATCTTCAGGAAACTAAGGAAGATGTATGTAGAGAGTTGGATCATAATGAATAAACAGACATTCTCAGCAGGCAGACCAGAGCAAGAAAGGAATCCAAGCAAAAAGAAACAGCAAGTGTATTGAGATACAGAAGCACAAAACAAAAGGGCATCTTTGATGAACCTCTGAGTTTGACATGGCTGAAGCCTGTTATCCTTGATAACAGGATACATGCCTGGAAAGAAAGTCAGAGAATTAGTTCATCAAGGACTTTTTGTTCTATGCTATAACTTTCGGTCATATGGTATAACTTTCAACTTATCTCTTTTTTAAATTGAGGAAACCTTAATTCACAGTGCTGTATATGATTCAAAAGTACAGGATCACACCTCTTTAGATACATGTTACTCTCTTAAATTTGTGGTTCTTGAGGCCTTCCCGGTGGCGCAGCAGGTTGAGTGCAGCACTGTGAAGCTGTTTGGTCAGTAAAACAGACAAAATCATCCTCACTTTTCAAATCACCCTCATTCACTCAGCAGAGCATGGATAATTTGAGTAATGACACACAAACACTGCAATTCTGTTTTAACACAGAATAACTACAATAGAAGTATGTACAAAGTAGAGTGATGGCACAGAAGGATAGAGCTAGAATCACAGAACAGTGAAGATGATTTTGTCTGTTTTACTAACCAAACCCAATCCTCTACAGCACGGGTTCAATTCCTGGCCAGACAGGGAGATTCCCACATGGCCCGGCAGACCTCTCCTGTCGCACCTGCTGCTCCCCTCAGCAGTGCTTTTGGTCTGTCTGCCTGTTCTGCTCTCCACTCTGTCTCTGGTAAATCCTCTCACCCTCCCGCACCTCTGGCCTGTTCCCCAGCTATTGTATAAATAAAATCAATCAATTAATCAATCAATCTAAGAAAAAGAAATGTGGCTCTCAGTGAGTAGTCCCTGAACCAGCAGCAGCACGACCTAGGAACCTATCAGAAATGCAAAATTACAAGCCTTTCCCTATAATAAGAAACTCTGGGGAGTATTTGGGGCTCAACAAGTCTTCATGTGCTTCTGAGAAGCACTGCTTTAGAATGATGGAACCACTGACCAGTTTTTAGCTGGGAGAGAGAGAATCCAGGTTTAGACAGTCCTTAAGCTCACATTCTGTCTGCTACTTCATGCTGACTATCATGTGTATTCATGTAAATGGAAGGGCTGGCCATCTATGTTCTATACACAGAAGAAAGAACCCTGATCTTTGTTACCCAAAGTCCCATTATCTGCATAAAAGAGAATTTCTCTCAAACATTAAGTCTTTGTTTTTGCCCTTTCTACGCTTATCTACAACCCCCCTGAGGTTAGCTTATGTTGATGATAAAAGGTGTGAGAGATAGAAATGAGTGATGTAGGAAGTCTTTCCCCCAGAAAGCTGAGCAGGCTGATTTAGAGTACACTCAGCTTTTAATCATATGACAGGAAAAAATCTTCCGTTTAAGCCTCAAACCCAATCCTCCACAAGCTGTTACAGACTGCTCTTTCCCTTACTTAATTTTCCTATTTCAAGGGTATCAGTTTCCAAATGTTCTAAAACGAACTGACCTGAAGGTGGTGAAAGCTAACTTTGTAGTACCAGTCATCCATGTGCGAAAAATATTTTCACAGAAAAAGCAAGTGCATGAAAATATTTTTACCACAATAAATTGCTGGTTCCACATTTCTTTGAAAAGAGGAGGAAAAAAAAAACCTGTGAATAATTAGTGATGTGCTTAAACTGCCAGCCCAGCACCACTGAAACTTAGCGGGTGCCAAATTATTTAGCTGAACAGTATTTAAATTAAAAACTAATGACTAGGTTAATTTAATACATGTTCATCTCGGCTCCAACTCTGTCTCTACTAATTGAGCTCCAAAGCTATATTTTAAACATGCATCCTAGTCAGTGAATGAAAAACATCTGACTACTTGAGTATAACAAGTCAGTTACCAATAACAACTTCTTTTAATCTAAATTTTATTGTCATTTTAGATGTTTACCCATAAACTATTTATTGGACATATTCACCAATAAGATGGAGGGGATAATGTGCCACATACAATGCACAGAGAATAGCCTTAGTTAGTAAAATGAGTTATGTTAAGTAATTTGAGTGCTTTACGTTGGAACTACAAGGTTTGATCCCCTTCCTTAGGTAAAAATGTAAACTATACAGTACGACCTAGAATTCCATCAACACCTTTAAAAAAAAAATCTTCGCATGTTTAAATTATGGCAGGGGAAGACCCAAGCCCTTCTTTCCCCTTCATCCCACTCATTTCCCCAATCTAGTCTCTCTCTCCCCTTACCCAACAATCAATCTAACATATAACTCCTTCAAAAAGCTGAAAGAAATTATAATAGTTTACAGATTTTAAAAAAGTGTGGAGAATCAGTCCAAAAAAAAAAGAAGTTATGGTAAAATT